AAATGAGTTGACAATTTGATATATTCTGTTTTCTTTCTTTCCTTTATTCCCACTGTTTTTCGCAATTAGATATGCACAAATTGGCCATTTGTTTTGTGGCTTCGCAGCTCCTTTTTCTTTTCTGTTCGTTTTGGTGATTCCAGAACAAGTTTAGGCCTTTGTGTAAGATGATGATTATAATTGGCTATTTCTTTCCAGAATATATACAGATTACTACGCGACAGAAATAGAGAATCAAATGTCCTCCTCTGTAATTGTGTGATCAACCAAACTTGTTGCTCGTGTAGAAGAATTTTTCATTTCATTTATTCACCCTGATAATTTCGCTCACAGCAAACAAAATTGGGAATTTGCTTCATATCTTTCTACCCAGAAATTTAGACTACATTTTGGACAGGGGCCGCGCGAACGCAGGCCCCCACTGGCACAAATTATGACGTTGGCTCTCCCACTAGGGGAGACCATAGGGTAGCACCCCTCCTAAGTGCAATGGAGGTCACTAACCTAGGCCATGGGCCTTCTTGAGCACCCAAAAACCCCGTCCAGGTAAGTATGTTGCAATGGGTTTGGTCGACTCGTTTTATAGAGGCCTCGCATCCCAACTCTCTTATGTTCTTTCGATATGGGACAAAACTAAAACAGATTAAAATCCACTTAGACAAGAACAGCCTCTTTCAGTCTTTGAACAATTATGAAATATGGGTTGAATTGCAGTTTGACACAGCTATCCTCGTTCTTTATCTAGCAGGCCAGAAAGGTATTCAATTGGGTTCATTTCTATGCTGTGCCATCTATTGAAAATTTGTTACTGTTATTTGGCCACCACCAAAGTTATCAACTTCATATCTGCAGCTTGAGCAAATCTACAACTTCAGCAATGCCCTCTGGCCTCTGAACCTTGCCTGCTATACAGAAAACCTTGAAATTTTATCATTGGAACAAAGATCAAATTTGGATATGAATGTAGTTTTCTTATTTTATATTTATACAACCGATAGTATAAATTACTCTAAATTAATCTAATATATGGGGAGGAGGACTCGAATTTGAGTGCAAAAAGTATGTGCTCACTGTCCTAGTTGATTGGGCTAACTCACGTCTACGCAATGCATGTGCTGTTTTGTTGAACATATGATGTTTTACTGAAGCTTTAAAACCAAATATTGTTCGAAAGCTAAGGCTGATTTTAAGCCTCGGCTTATGAGCAATCTTTGTTCTCCAGTCAAATGGTATGGTTGTTTCCCTTGGATTGATGTGTTCGTGTTTACTTGCTGGTACTTACAGAAATGGAGAAATCAACATATTCTTAGTGGTGATGATAGCCTACCTTTGCAACCATGTCAAGTTGTTGTTGCTGCAGTTCTTGAGTGGATCAAAGCTATTGGTGGGACTAAAAACCATGAAATTAAGGAGCATCAGGTTCTGTCCTGGGAACCTCCCCTTTCTAATTGGTTTAAATTGAATGTTAATGGCTCTAGAAGGGGGTATGTCTGTCTGGTACTATTGGGGCTGGGGGTTTGATTCGAGACTCTGTTGGGATTTGGCAAGGTGGTTTTGTAGTTAATCTGGGGTTGGGCCAGATTTTAGAAGCAGAGCTTTGGGGATTATTCTTTGGCCTTAATCTAGCAATTGGGAAAAGGTGTAAAAAATCTTTTAATTGAAATGGATTCAACCACTGCTGTTAGGCTTATCCAGTACATGGGAAGTCTTGAGTTTCATGTCTTTGTCAGGTTACTGTATTCTTGTAGAGAGATGTTGACTCAACTGGATTGTGTGGAGGTGCAGCATACTTTTCGGGAGAAGAATTTTGCTGCGGATTGCCTTGCTAACTTGAGCTATGATATGGGGTTGGGTGTTCGGTTTTTAGAGGTTCCTAGTTGTCTTGGTTCCATTTTGGTTGATGACTCCTTGGGAGTTGGTCATCCGCGTTTGATTGGAGTTGTGTAGTTGTTGTTTTGGGGTTCTTTCCCCCCTTGTTTCATAAGGCATTTTAGTAAACTACAAAAACTAGTCCCTTACTCGCCCATGTCTTTCCAACGTTTCGCTCTCTGTAAAAGTTTAAAGACAACGACTTTCACTTCCTTTCTTGGCAGAGTCCTCTTCGCCTCTGTTTTCACTCTCTGATTACCTAGAGTTACTATAATTTACTGCATCTACATACCTTTTTATTTTATTTTAAAGCATCTACATATCTTCATTATCAGTCGACAAAAATTTATTACATTTTAAATACGGTGTTTCTAACTGAAAACAAGAACAAAAATTACAATTAAATTATAATTTGCAGATATTAATGATGCGGTAAAGGGGAGAAGGATCACATCGTAGAGCAGATGATAGCTCTAGGAGTGTCATGGGGCTGCCATGGCTTTCAATTGCATCAGCTATTCCAAGCTCAATGGCACATTAATAAAAAATAATTTTGAACTAGGAATTGTAGGGCTTTACCCCGAAGGGAACCCTTCCAGAAATTCTCAGAGGCCACGGCTGAACCGTGGCCAGTGAGGGGGTTTGGAAATAGTTTTCAACCAGCAATAGACGCGCCTCGGTTAGAACCTCATAAGCTGCGTCATTGCCCAAACACATATTTCCAGATTTCGAGTTTGGCATGTTCTTCTTCTTTCTCTTCTCCTCCTAACTCTCTTTGTTTATCTTCCATCTCTTTGTGTGTGTTGTGTCGTAGGCTCTAAGGTAGCAATATATATAATTTGCAGGAAGAGATTGGAGTTGAAATCTTTAGTTACATGCAGAACATGTGTTGAACAATTTAGCTAATGTATCATTTTCATTGGGATTTTTTCCAGATTCAACCACTGAATTTTAAATGTATTTTCATGTAATGGTAGACATCTTTTGCCCAATTGGCTGGAAGGATTTTGTCTTGTATACAAAATTCTTTCGTTGCCACAATATTTTATGGTAAGCATGCATTGTTTAGCTGTAGCTAGTGGCATTATCATAAGAATCTTGTGTTTTTGTTGTGAGCATAATTCTTGTTTGTTTCTTATTTTTGTCTTTCCAATCGTGTTTTGATACTTCCAATCGTGTGAGCATAATACTATATGTATTAGAATATGAGCATCCAACCCGAAATCAATTGACAATAGATGGAGAGACCCAAAATCTTTTATACCATTTGACAAGGCTTTAATTCTCCAATGTGAGATTCACACTCTCAATCAACACATACAGCCTTTATCTACACACAAATCGGAGGAACAACTATTGAGCTATATGAATTGAATTGCATCAACTTCCAATCAATTTGGCTCGCTTTTATAATACTAGAGCAACTCAGCCTTTCTCACTACGTCGATGTGGGACAGCAACAAGCCATGATCCAATTGCTGGACATACGACAAGTGGAACCAGAGTTGAAAGACAAAATTAGCATTTCGAATCTTTAAAATCTGACAACCTAATTTGGGCCATGATTTAAAGGATGCAACAGATTCCATTTCAAATCTTGTATAGTGAGAAGCCATCTTAAAGAAGATGTAAAACTCGCGGATAGTAGACTATGTAGAATGATATATAAGTTTGTAAACATATCGGATTCAGATCATATTTAGATTATCAAGATGAACTTATATCATTTTATATACAAAAGTATTAAATTCGGATCAGATTGAATTATTATCAGAATCATTTTAAGACTTAGAAAGTACTAGATCAATATGGGTGAGCAATATGAAGCTTAAATTTACTTGCGTAACATCGTGGGTTGGTTTGTCGGGTCAACTTCACTGATTGATGTGGGAGTTATTTTGTTATTAGCTGCAAACACGTTTTCACTTGATATGCCAAGCATTTAGCACTCCTCGTATACAATATTTGGTTTAAACAGACAATAAAATACGAAAACTTCATTAAATTTATTTGAAAATATTAATTGTGAACTCGAACATTGGGGATTGAATATGTAAATACAATATAAATTACTTAACAGTGAATTTAATAATTGGCAAAAATTCATGTTTGAACACTTTCGTCCATGTAGTTTAAATTTTGACAATTTAACCACATGATAGTTGATACAATTTTCTGCAGAAAAATTCTTATCTTATTTTGCTTCTTTCTTGCTCCTACTCTAACCAAAGTTTCCATCCATTGATTCTCGCTCGTAAGGACATTGAAAGACAAACTAATGCAATTGGAGGGCAGTGAATTGGGTTGCTTAATGTGAAGGTTACATGTATATTTATATATGTTAAAAATCAAAGCATTATGTTATACCCAACAACATGCTTATTGGGATACACAGATATATAGCAGCCACAACGCATTTGCGCAAACTTATTATAGAACATGTGTTCAACATTTAGAAATATATCAATTTCATTGGGATTTTTACAAGATTGAACACTTAATTTTTAATATGCATTTCCTATAATCGGTAGTATACATTTTAATTTCTTTGATAAAGATTTTTTTAATCGAACCGTACTAGAAATTATGGAAAAGATGCTTGCAAGAACATCTGTTTCATCCAATATTGTATTATAGTATAAATTATCTTTAGCTAGGTACATTATTGTCTAGCTGTAACATCAAATACCTACGTAGGATACATGTGTGACTTTGTTGAGGCAGATGTTTTTGGGGGTATATGTAATAAAATAAGAAAGGAAGACTCTGTCTATTGCTGGTATATTATTTACAAAGATCATGACTTTGTGGACTCAGTCAAGTAAGGATCTTTATAATTAAGATACGGAAAAAACATGTCATGTTTTAGTTATGTATTACGTTAATTTGTTTGTGTTTGCAAAACTTGTCATGTGTTTAAGAAATTCTTCCATTTGAGACAACTTTACTTTTTCCAGATCATCGACTATGCGTTATTCAAATCATAGCCAAACGATTCAGCTTGAAAGAAAGACAAATCATGTGACAGTTTTTTGTTCTGTCATTTTTGTAGCTTTACTTTTGCTGGACTCTGTCTGGTTTTTCTTTTGCAATGAATGAGATTTCGACCCAAAAAAAAAAAGGTCACAAGATATGTTCCCTAGATCTAACAATATTCATATTTGGATTGTGAGGTTTCCTTGAGTATTAAGTAAGAGTATCACATATATACTAATTACCATGATAATTGCAGCATCAGCCTTTGGAACACAATCAAACATGTCACCCCCAACATTCTCAATGCGATCACACTCTTGAGCAACAGACACAACATGAGGAAGATCAAAATTGACGCCTCGAATCCAAGGGCACGCCTCGACCAACAAGCGCAAAGTAGTCCCGTCACCCCCACCCACATCTACAATTGTCTCGAGCCCTTTGAACACCTCTAAACAGCTTTCAAGCACAGCAGGCACAGCCACCCTTGCATCACAAGCCATTGCTTCATTGATGAGCTTGCTGTGATTAGGATTTGCCGCGGCATAGCTCCACACATCCTCTCCATGTACTGCCTCGAATGCCGGGTTGCTAACACCTTGGATTCGGGCACTGAGGCCATGCCATGGTGCCAGCATTACCGGGCTACTCTCTAGCAAAATGAAAGCAGCCATGCTGTTTTCTCCGGATTTCAATAGCCGTTTGGACAAAGGTGTTTGTGCATAAACTTTGGGGCCTAATTGGGTTGCTGGTTTTTCTTTGAATATTTTGAGGTGGACTAGGACCCTCAAGATGCGGTAAAGGGGAGAAGGATCACATCTTAGAGCAGATGATAGCTCTAGGAGTGTCATGGGGCTGCCATGGCTTTCAATTGCATCAGCTATTCCAAGCTCAATGGCACATTTTACCACCGCGATTTCGACAAACCCGAACACATATTTCCAGATTTCCAGTTTGGCATGTTCTTCTTCTTTCTCTTCTCCTTCCAACTCTCTTTGTTTATCTTCCATCTCTTTCTGTGTGTGTGTCGTATGCTCTAAGGTAGCAATATATATAATTTGCAGGAAGAGATTGGAGTATGGTTACATGCAGAACATGTGTTGAACAATTTAGGTAATGTGAGTATAGTTACATTCAGCCACTCAATTTTAAATGAGTAGACATGTAATGGTAGACATCTTTTGCCCAGTTTAGGTAATGTGAGTATTTTCATGTAATGGTAGACATCTTTTGCCCAATTGGCTGGAAGGATTTTGTCTTGTATACAAAATTCTCTCTGTAGCTAGTGGCATTATCATAAGAATATTGTGTTTTTGCTGTTTGCATAATTTTTGTTTGTTTCTTATTTTTGTCTTTCCAATCATGTTTTGATACTCTTCTAATACTATATGTATTAGAATGTGAGCATCCAACCCGAAATCAATTGACCACGGATGGAGAGACCCAAAATCTTTTATACCATTTGACAAGGCTTTAATTCTCCGATGTGAGATTCACACTCAATCAACACATACAACCTTTATCTACACCCAATGAAAATGATACATGACCTAACTTGGGATTGATTTTTTGAGAGTATCAGTAGGCCCCATAACTAGGCTGGATTGTTCTTGGCCTTTTATAAAGCAATTAATTTCCACTCGAATCACATCTGATGGATCTAATGATAATCTCTTGAAAATAAGTTTTCAAAGCAGATTTTTTCAATAAATAAGTGATTCTTGTTGATTTCTTAGCTGTAATTCACTTTTGCATTGGCCCCAGCTCTTTACCTACTTCAAAACTGACTGTTGGATAAATAGTATAGCCGATCGGCTATATTCGATTTTTCTGATTTTTTCAAAACTAGTATAGCCGCTCGGCTACACTTATTTAGACACGTGGCCACCTATTCGCTAGTAGGGTTCTCTTCTTTTTTTGATTTTTTTTCAAAACTAGTATAGCCGCGCGGCCAGACTCGGTTTTATTAATATTTCTCTCCAATTTTTTCTAATTTTTTTTAAAAATAGTATAACCGAGCGGCCATACGCTTTATAAATATTTTGAGTCTGGAAATGGGTTTGTTGAAATCGCGGTGGTGAAATGCGCCATTGAGCTCGGGATAGCAGATGCAATTGAAAGCCATGGAAGCCCCATGACATGCTTAGAACTCTCATCTGCTCTGAGATGTGATCCTTCTCCCCTTCGCCGCCTCATGAGGGTCCTAGTCCACCTCCAAATATTCAAAGAGACTTTGTGGACTCAGTCAAGTAAGGATCTTTATAATTAAGATACGGAAAAAACATGTCATGTTTTAGTTATGTATTACGTTAATTTGTTTGTGTTTGCAAAACTTGTCATGTGTTTAAGAAATTCTTCCATTTGAGACAACTTTACTTTTTCCAGATCATCGACTATGCGTTATTCAAATCATAGCCAAACGATTCAGCTTGAAAGATAGCCATGAACTCAGATATCAGTGAAACTTGAGTAGAATTCATTACACATGTTTTGTTTTGACAGTGACAATTTTTTTTTTTTATCCCTTTCAGTCGTGTTTTAATACCCTACCAATCGGGTTCTGCTTTTACAGGATGTTTGCCATGCACCTTCCATTAATATTTCATTCTTTCTTGTGTGGAGGGCTACAAGTATTAGAACAGCATGATCTAAGCAACTCTATTATTAGCAGGATGTGAATGGTCTTGATTATGCCATGTCATTGATGCTATTCAGATGCTTTAGTTAGTTAGAAGGTTAACAGTTCGTTAAATTGTTAGCAGAGAGCTAAGCCTCTAGTGAGCTATATAATATACTGTAATGAGTTCAATCGAGTCAATACAGATGATACAGTACTCTGCAGAAAACTCTATCTGATTTTGCTGAGCTTCCATCCATTGGCTCTGTCTCGTAAGTCGTAAGGACATTGAAAGACAAACTAATGGAAAGAAAGACATTGGAGAGTGCTGTGAATCACATATATGTATACCTTAAAAATCAAAGCATGTGTTGCTCAAAAACATGCCTAATAGTATTGGGATAGAAAGATATATAGCAGCCACAATGCAATTTGCTCAGATTCTATTGCCAACCATCTAAAGATTACAAACTGCAAGAGCAACAGATAAAGACCAAAAGGTAACTTAAACAATACAATGAAACAGTACTAATTTGCAAAAACAAATCCACATCCATAACTTTTTGTTCTCTAAATTTAAGGAAAAGCCTGAATAACGGAACAGACAGCATGAATAGGTGTGATAGTGTGTCGGCTGAAGCCAGCTTCCCCAAGAACATATTCCCATTCCTTCAAGGTCCTTTCTTTTCCTGTGTTTGTATAGGCCATCATCACCATGTCTAGCATCAATCTCACATTTGTTAGTTTGATGTCCTCATTCTCCTCTTTTTCATCGATAACTGCTTCTACGATTATCACCTTCCCTTTATCCTCCGCAATAGCTTCCCTGCACTTCTTAAGGATATGGATGCACTCATCATCGCCCCAGTCTTGAAGAACCGACTGCAATTCACGAAAACAGAATCAGAGTATCCATTGTCATAACGCCTTGTTGAGCGAGAAAACTTATAGCAAGATAATCAGGGAGTGATGGCAGAGGAACCACATTTTTTCTTATCCCATTAGCGCAGACAAATGATGTAATAAGTAGACATTAACAGACAAATCAAATGATGAAACTAATAGCTCACAGGATGAATGAAAAATATAAACGTGTTGCTGCTAGCTATGTTAAGGCTGCTCTTCCTCAAATGGTTTAATTTTCTCTATTTCCTTTAACTATATATATATACTAACCTTAATAATTACAGCATCAGCCTTGGGAACACAATCAAACATGTCACCTCCAACATTCTCAATGCGGTCACACTCCTGAGCAACAGACACAACATGAGGAAGATCAAAGTTGATGCCTTGAATCCAAGGACATGCCTCAACCAACAAGCGCAAAGTAGTCCCATCACCCCCGCCCACATCTACAATTGTCTCAATCCCTTTGAACACCTCTATACAACTTTCAGTCACTGCAGACACAACCACCCTTGCATCACAAGCCATTGCTTCATTGAAAAGCTTGTTGTGATCAGGATTGGCTGCGCCAAAGCTCCATATGTCCTCACCATGTACTTCCTCAAACACTGAATTTCTAATATTACCTTTGATTCGGGTACTGAGGACATGCCACGGTGCCAGCATTACCGGGCTATTCTCTAGCAAAATGAAAGCAGCCATGCTGTTTTGTCCGGATTTCAATAGCCGTTTGGACAAAGGTGTTTGTGCATAAACTTTGGGGCCTAATTGGGTTGCTGGCTTTTCTTTGAATATTTTGAGATGGACTAGGACCCTCATGATGCGGTAAAGGGGAGAAGGATCACATCTTAGAGCAGATGATAGCTCTAGGAGTGTCATGGGGCTGCCACGGCTTTCAATTGCATCAGCTATTCCAAGCTGAATGGCACATTTTACCACCGCGATTTCGACAAACCCAAACACATATTTCCAGATTTCCAGTTTGGCATGTTCTTCTTCTTTCTCTTCTCCTCCTAACTCTCTTTGTTTATCTTCCATCTCTTTCTGTGTGTTTGTTGTAGGCCCTAAGGTAGCAATATATATAATTTGCAGGAAGAGATTGGAGTATAGTTACGTGCAGAAGTGTGTTGAACAGTTTAGGTAATGCAGGGGCGGTCCTACCCTAAGGGTAGGGCAAGCAGCCGCCTACTCCATTTTTTGCCAAACCAAAAATTACCCAATACCCAATACAAATAAATTTCTTCTGCCTACTCAAACCCAACCCATCAGGGGCGATCCGACCCTAAGGACAAGGTAGGCAGCCGCCTACTCCCTTTTTTGCCAAACCAAAAATTACCCAATACAATCAAATTTCTTTTGCCTACTCAAACCCAACCCACTCAAAATTTTCCCTTTAACAAAAACAATAGGCCAGACCACTCAAACTTTCTCCTTTAACAAAAACAATAAAAAGCAATATAAGCATGTGAAAGTTGTATGGAGATTTTTTCAATGTTGACTAACATTATGAATTTTGTTAGTGCTTCTGCTAAACGCAATAATGAGTTAAATTTAATTTGAAAAGCTGAACTCAAAGAATTGTTGGATTATGGGGAACTTGAGACATGTAGAGGACTTAATCAAGGTTGTAGTTTGAAACGAGCTGGAGCCACTCGTTGGGGATCTCACTTTACCTTAAAAATCAAAGCATGTGTTGCTTAAAAACATGCCTACTAGTATTGGGATTGAAAGATATATAGCAGCCACAATGCATTTGCTCAGATTTTCTTGCCAACCATCTAAAGATTACAAACTGCAAGAGCAGTAGGCTTATTAACTCAACACTTTTGACAATGATGCAACAGATAAAGACCAAAAGGTAACTTAAACAATACAATGAAAGTACTAATTTGCAAAAAACAAATCCACATCCATAACTTTTTGTTCTCTAAATTTAAGGAAAAGCCTGAATAACGGATTGGACAGCATGAATAGGTGTGATAGTGTGTCGGCTAAAGCCAGCTTCCCCAAGAACATATCCCCATTCCTTCAAGGTCCTTTCTTTTCCTGTGTTTGTATGGGCCATCATCACCATGTCTAGCATCAATCTCACATTTGTTAGTTTGATGTCCTCTTTCGCATCTTTTTCATCGATAACCGCTTCTATGATTATCACCTTCCCTTTATCCTCCGGCATAGCTTCCCTGCACTTCTTAAGGATATGGATGCACTCATCATCGCCCCAGTCGTGAAGAACCCACTGCAATTCACAAAAATAGAATCAGAGTATCCATTGTCATAATGCCTTGTTGAGCAAGAAAACTTATAGCAAGATAATCGGGGAGTGATGGCAGAGGAACCACATTTTTTCTTATCCCATTAGCGCAGACAAATGATGTAATAAGTAGACATTAACAGACAAACCAAATTATGAAACTAATAGCTCACAGGATGAATGAAAAATATAAACGTGTTGCTGCTAGCTATTTTAAGGCTGCTCTACCGTAAATGGTTT